TTTTTTTTTAATTCAGCGATTCGAAAGGGCTGGCAATAAGATATCACTCAGGCCGCATTAAAAATCAAATTAAATGCATGAAATGAAAGCGTACTTTCGATTTCTTTGGTAACCTTCACCTTTTCACCTTTGATTTCTACTCTCCAACTGCAATAATCAGTCGTTCTTTGGCGTGTGAGGATAAAAAATTCAGCAACACTAATTGTTCCAATAGAACTCTTCCAATTTAAAAAATTGCGTCCACTTTCAGTCGCGAATCAATTAATCAATTTATTGGAAACGATACAATGTTCACTTTTGTCTCAACAGACTGTTAATGTATGTTTTTTTTTAAATATCTTCAGAAAAACTCATTATCAGCAAACTACGTGTGACCTATGAGTTTTACAACTGCAGATAAAGCAGCATTCAAACAGAGAACATTCAAACATCAAACATGTTGAAAAAGACCTATTTATAGATGGGATTTCGAATGATTAAGTGTCACTGAATGCGAACAAATTCTGAGATGCACTTCACTTTCAACTTTAAAAAATTGCAACTGGTGTTCCATTTGACGCACAACCATAACTATCACCAATATATGTGCAATTCTAAAAGATTCGTTCATTCGTGCGCACAACTGTTTTATTTCTCTTGACTTCAATAAGGAATATCGCTTCAATGGCAGGTGATACTCGGCAACCAACGAACAATGTAATCGCCATGTTAATCTTCATTTAATGTGCCCAATAGTCTTCCCAAAAAACACCTTAAAACTTTATTTTATCCGAAATCCCCAGATGCATGTATTATCATGGCCACTTCACATTATCCAAAAACCTGTTATTCATTTTGATGATTAGATGTGACAAGTTTCATTGCAATAGACTCCGGCATCCACGTTTGAGCAAGATGAAAAACGGTAAATCATTTCAAAATGAATCTCCTTCAGGGGTTTCATTTTCACTTTTTGTGCAATAAAAGAAAATCGTGAACGACAGCCTGAAATGAGAGAAAACGTTATATGTAGTTAAAGATATCAATAATTTGATCAGAATATATTTTCTGAAAGGTGGATCCTATAAAATATCTGTTTTTGCCTCTAAATATCAGTGTGAATGTTCGTCTTGACAACGCTTCGTCGTTCCTGTCGAAATCGAAATCATGCGCTCTCAGATATAAAGCAGTCTCTCAAAACTTTTAAGTACGATTCTCCATGCTTTCATATTCATAATTTCATGTGAATATTAGATGTGTGTTGCAAGATAAGTTTCATCCAAAATTCACTCTGTTACAGTCTCTTCCACAATGAAGTTTCATCTTGTTGATCGAATAACGCTAGCACGATAACGCATATATATCTGGCCCATCCGTCATACCTATTTATGATAATTATTTGCGTATTTTGTGACTTGTTAGAGGCTATCACAGCCTCAGGGTTTGTGAATAGCTAACTCAAATTTCAGTTAACTGCTTCCTTCCACGATTTTAAAAATTCGCAATCATCAGCAAAAATTTACTGTTTGGGCAGTGTTAACCGACGGTAAAACAAAGCATTCCTTTCGGTTGCTCTCGATGATACTTCACCAATTTTGATTTGTTGTTGCAAAACGTACGCATTAATTTGTCAGGTGAAATTGATCGATAGCAAAACTGCTGAACGAGGGTCACAAAACGAGTGTTGAATGTTTTAAAAACGTGTTATGATGTTATCTATGCAATCATGTCGAACAGTATTCATAAACAAAAACAAAACAAGTCACAGCATTCGAAATAACACGACAGCTAATGAATGAATCGCATAAAAACATAAATACTTGTGTGTTCATTTGCCCAAAGAACTATATTTGAATCTCATGCAAGACAGTCGTACAAAAATGGCTTAAAAACTGGTTTAATGAACGATGGAGACATTAAGACCGTTCTCCGTATTCGAATAATTAGTGATCTGTTCACTGAGATAACTAGCTCAACGTCGCAATATGGTCTCATCCAGCAGAAACCAGATTGCTGAACACAATACCTTGAAAGTAAATTCGAAAACAAAACAGAGAATTTCCGAATAGCTGCAAAATATGCAAAAATTTGCAATCATCATCTTCAACAAAAGTTTCCAGTTTGGGCAGTGTTAACTGATAACAAAACACGGAGTTCCCTTTGGTCGCTTTCGATGATCCTTCATTAATTTGTTGTTGCGTACTGTAAGCACCAATTAATTAGCTAAAAATTTTTTTTTTAAAAATCGATTTTGAAAAAAATTGATCACAATGTTACTATTTCATCAACGACAGGAAATTTTGAGCCAGAAATGCTGAAGCAATGAATAAATCATTTGAAAAATGGATACAACAAAATGACACAATCACCATTATATCAACAAAGTGATTAATTGACAGTTGTCGTGCAACGCTCTTGAATCTTCCAAAACATCATAAGGGGTTCAGAATCCATTTGTGAACCCTAGAATTTCATTGATTCAATAAACAAATAAAAAATATCAGTGATAAAAATGGATCGTTTTCATCCTGTTTGAACATCACAACATTTTAATTTACGATCTGATGATAAATACTACGCCGTTTTTTCGAACAAATGATTCAGCAACGATTTTTTCGTTGAAAGTGTGCATCTGAAGAAACCACCGAATTTTTCTGTTGTTTTGTGCTTACAGTTACCATTGTACTTCTGAATTAATGACGATAGGTGAGCAAAATTGCGAATTTCATTGTTTAATAGCTGGTAAAGATAAAATGCAGTGTTATGCTTCAAACTGGTTCATTTTCAATCGTATTCAGCTTTGTATATGATATCGGCTAATTTCATATACATATTTTTCAACAATCTGAAAACGTCTATGACTGAAAAGTGATCCTGATACGGAGAATATCAAGATTGCAATAATATATGAAACGGTAGTGAATACGTCTGTTTTGAAACAACGAACAACAAACAAGACGATAAACAGAAGCAATTAGCATAGTTATTATTATTATTATTATGCATTGTGTAATAACATCCGTCAGCTGTTATCAATCAAGAGAATAATGAAAGAGATCAATCGTTTAGTGACAAGACGAGTAGAAAAGAAAAATGCAAATGAATGAATTCAACAAATAATGGTTAGTATGATGCGAGGGTGGGTGGGGCAATCGGAGAGCGGTTGATTGCCTCAAAATGGAATTCCGTGAACAGGTCGTGCCAGTATATATATAAGGCGTTTGATGAACACTAAGCATCGCATCGGTTGGTCGTGAAGGCAGTCATCCAAAAGAGTTCACTAAAGTTATGTCTACCTACGATAATATGGACTTCAAGGAGAAGCAACGAGAGGCTGATAGCCTTCGCACGGTCGCATTCTTCGGAGTAGCCTTATCGACGATTGCTACTCTCGCATGCGTTATTTCTGTGCCTATGCTCTACAATTACATGCAGCATATGCAATCAGTCATGCAAAATGAAGTCGATTTTTGCAAATCTCGTTCTGGTAATATCTGGCGTGAAGTTACACGGACTCAGGTCAGTTCACCATTCATCTATTCGTGTCATATTCTCAAAATTATGTTGTAAACTGATCCTCACCCATGCAGAAATGATTTTAAATCTACAAATTTCTAAAAGGTTATTGTGCTGAATGAGATTGAATCGAAATCTTGACCATCTGGTAGTCAGTATTTCAGCCGGTCTAATCTTGACATTAAGGCTAAAAAATTGTTTTTATATCAAGAATGCAGGGTTTCATCATAACGATTTTGTGTTTTGAAGGGTTTTGTGCAAATCAGTGCTTTATTGATCCTAATTCTGTTCATTCATTCAATACATTGCGCACATATTTGATTTATTCCTGCATTTGTGAGTGCGAATATTCATTACATTTCGCAGATGTTGTCTGCCTGAGCAAACCGTGAAGGCCACTGAGAGCATTTCTTTATTTTCAAAGGAAGTTAGAAGTTTGGTGGCAAATTTTCTGTTTCAGTGGGAATGTTTAACTTGCAATTTCTCTTCATTGAATCTCAGCGTTGTTTAGCTATTCGAATTGAGAGTAAGATGAAGAATTGCATCAAGCCGAATGTGGTGCTCAATTTATTGCAATAGGCGTGGACAAAGGCTGCGTTCCATAAATGAACGAATTTTTAATGAAAATTGCGTAAAGTGAATAATCCATTTTAGGTGCTCTCAAAGGTGAATGGAGTCAGAAATCCACGTCAAGCTGGCTACGGAGAATCGGCAGCTGTTGAAGGCGAAAGCGTTTCAATGGGTGGAGGAGGAGGAGGATGCTGCGGTTGTGGTGTCTCAGGCCCAGGACCTCAAGGACCACCAGGACCTGACGGTAAAGATGGTGCTGATGGAGAACCAGGAGTGGCCGGAAAGGACGGAGCTGATGCACCCGCAGCTACTGCAGCTCCTAAGATTGTGAGTTTTTCAATGCTGGAGAAAACATCTTCACAACCGCGTCAATAGCCACTTTTGCGATCCGATTACCATCATATCTATTAGTTCAGCCAAATCCATATTGAAAATGGGAAAGCATTCCGTTATAGAGGGTCGGCCTAGGATAAAAATACCAATTCAGTCTGCTTTCTTCCGATTCATATACAAACTGAACGTTGGATTCTTAGGACTGGTGCTTCGAATGCCCCGACGCACCCGCAGGACCAGCTGGCCCCGCTGGACCAAAAGGACCATCCGGCAAAGCAGGAGCTCCAGGCAAAGATGCTGATGGTGGTGCCCGCGGACCTCCCGGTCCACCAGGTCCAGCTGGACCAGCTGGGCCAGCAGGAGCCCCAGGACCAAAAGGACCCGCAGGACCAGCAGGAAATACCATCGAAAAACCTGGACCAGATGGACCAGCTGGACCACCAGGACCAGCTGGACCAGCGGGACCCGACGGACCAGCTGGATCGGATGGCAAGCCGGGAGCAGATGGACCACAAGGACCTCCAGGATCTCCTGGCAAAGATGGTGCACCAGGAAAAGCTGGACCAAATGGAGACGATGGACCACAGGGAGAACGAGGAGCATCAGGAGCTTGCGATCATTGCCCACCCCCACGAACTGCTCCAGGATATTAAGTCTTTTTATGGTGTCTCTGTGCATTTTTTTGCTCTCATCTATTACCTCGCCTATTTGCGATCGGATGTCTGATGAATGTGTTTATCACAAAGTGCCATCAATTTACAAATTCACTAGTCTCAAATCATCAACAATTTTATATTACGCACTCAAGCATTCCCCCAATCAATTATTGTCTCTATGACAATGAAAAATTGCACGTTTCATCAATAACGTCAATGAAATATGCATTTAATGTCAATTGTTGCATTCGGAAACGTGCTCTCCTCAAAATCACTATAACCGCACATCGTTGCTGTCTTCAAATATTCTCAACGAGCCTCACACAACTCATTTCACCATCAGAATTTCCGAATTCATTCGCATTCTGAATTAATATTCAAACTGTAAATTCTGAATGTTTTCATTTGCCTTTCGATTGTAATTATTGCACGCTAATAAAATTCTATTACAAACAGTTCCGTCTTCGATTCTCTTGAACAATTTGTCGAGTGTCAATCGATGACAACAAAAAAATCAATTTCATTTTCTCGCAACCAATGCAAACAAAGCTCAGCATCGCCAAAATTTTCTTCAAAAATTGTTGGTTGGAGTCATTATTGCAGCGTGGGTGAAAGTATCTTTATGTTTTCTTGTTTTGTTGATTTAGCAACGACCATTTGAGTTTTAGCAACGCATCACATGACACTTGAGCACTGACGTGTGTGAAATTGTTGTGGTCATCATCATCTTGTCAATTATTTCATATATTTAGCAACATCACATTAATCCGGTTCCTTTTTCTGTTTTTCGAATCGTCTTCTGAACGAATATTGCCATAATGTAAGAGGAAAAAGAAGATGAATTGTTGGCAGCGAAGCCAAAAAAAACGAGTTTTCTCGCATCAGTTTAACACGTTTATATTGTCGAAAAAGTGCTCCTTTTGAAAAGGAATCATTTCAAATCAACATGTTCGGACATCGTTACACCAATTACACATAAAATCAAGTGCTCGAATTAATTTTCTATAAATCGCTTTGAACATTTCTGTGACGTTATTGCGCCATTGCTGTAATGAACGACAGTGATCAAATGATGGTAGCTTAGAACTCAAATGTCCACGAGGCATTCAATTTTTATAATCAGGTCGTCATCAATTGACTCAAATTTGATAGAACAGCGGGGGATTCCATCGGTGGTGGAATGGTCCATGAAAGCAACGGAATGTGAATGGCATTTCATCAAAACGGGGAATATCATTCATTCATTTACGCCAAAGTACAAAATTATAAATCAATCAGTTTTATTTGCATTTGATTTTTGAAAAGCATCATGGCAGATTCCTTGACAAATAATGAAACTCGTCGAGCTATTAGAGCACAAATCACTTAGCACATTTTTTCGAGTGCATTTTCTCAAACAAAAAAAAGAACAAAACAAATCATTCTGCAAGAATAAATCATCGTCGTTATTGCTCGAATGTGATTTACCCGGTGCTCCTTCATTCATCATCACAACCAACAGAATCGTCGATGTGGAACGTTCGGAACATTACAGTCGAATTGCAGTAAATTTATCAAACGTTACGTTTCTAATAAGTTTTTTAATGCAATTCACTTCGAAGATCACACACTTATTCGGGCTATTCTGTGTGAGATCTTTCTTTTCCAAATCTATTCAACAAATCAGAAACTTGTTATGATGAAATTCACGAAAAGAAATTCCAAACCAAATAAAATCATAAATCATTATTGAAGAGTCATTTGCTTGATTGAACGCTCCAGAGTGATTAATGCAGCATTTTGATCGATTAACGTAGTTGCTTTCAAATTTCGTTTTTTTGGTTTCATCGAATTTTTCCCATCGATAGATATGAATATATCTGCATCACTATTCCTGTGTACACCATCACCTTTTAAGGTCCGGATGTTTCCAATGATAGTTTCATTGTCGATTCAATTTTTAACTTTCACAGTGAGTCAGCATCTCTTTTATTGGTAACTCTTTTCGCACGAGTGTCAGTACGAGTGAAGGTTCGTAACAGTGAGTCGGTCGCTCACAGACGTTTTATCTTTTGTCATCACTACAGTTTAGAAACACACACAACAATATTTTTCACGTCTATCGCTTCCAGTTTCCTCTGGTCGCATTAAAAATATTTCGAATGAACAAGGCATGTACAAATAGTTGACGTTAAACGAAGAGACGTTAGGATGGAAGTGAAATTATCTTATTGATTCAAACAAATTCATCAGCAATTACGGCTGTCAATTATACACGCCACTACTCATCCTTTGACGGCAGAATATCCGAAATTCTCACAATCAGAAATGTGAATCTTTCAGACATTTGCAAACATATCAATTTCATCTGCAATTTGAATTCAGTTTAAACTCATGCACTGTAACAACCAACATTTTACCTAATGATGTAATGCACTTTGCTTCGCTTCAGTAAGAAAAATTTTGCTCTCAATTTGAAGGTTCTTCTTTGGGTCGTCTAGCCCACGCTCGAAAAAGTCAGGGAAGGAAAATCGGGGACGAAGTCCTTGAAATTCCCTGACATTAATCCAACCTACAGGATTCTCTCACTCGTTTTAGCAGCAAACATTCAATACTGTGCCAGCATCACAATCGTTAGTTAAGAACGGCTTCCTTTACGACGACAAGAAAGACAAACGAAGTAATAACCATACATTGAACTGATTAAGTGTCACCATATTATTACACTAACAATTATTACACTTTGTCATTATTATCATAAAGGTAAACTATGAGGAACGTAATTGAACGAAATCGACTTGTTTTCTGCCATTAATAGCTCGGAATGTTTGGCGCACGAGTAAATATGACATCTTTTCTTTATTTTCATGCCCAGAGTATCTAAACTGACATCGACTACAAATCTGTTATTTTGTGTTTTATTCCAGTGATACTGAAGTCTTTTACTCTTAGACTCAGCATATCAGCGCACAATCAGCACAGTGGTTCTTTTACTAGTTCATACGTCGGAGGGTATAAAAATGATGCGAAGTTCATTTGAGATATTCATTATTAACTGGTGATCGTTCAGTTGCAGTTACTTTTGCAAACCACAAAACTACGCTTAATTCAAAATGATTTTTAGAGAGAAAGTGGGATTTTTTGTTAATCAAAGCAACGGCTAGCATTCAGGTTGTTGTATGTAAGACATCATGTAGACTGCTCTTATCTTTTCTTCTCATGGCAAGCAATTGCTCAAGCTAGTGTGGTGTGGGGATCGATGAATTTCGTAGACCCACTCCTCGAATCCCCGTCCACGACTTTTTTCGAGCCGATCACATTTTCAGGGCCCTGACTACACAATTTCGTCCCTGATATTCCTCGTTCCTGACTTTTTTTCCCGTCCCTGCACCACTTTAGTTCAAGCAACATCACTAACATTGATTATCGGATCGATATACCTAAAATGAAAAAGAATCCGCCCAAGACACTAATGAATTATCTAATTTTAAGTCAAATTGACAGA